CGTCTATAAAGATTCCCGATAAGTATGCTTCTAATATCGCCCGTTGCGTGAATGTTGACAGGGGTAAATTTGCTAGACTAAAGAGCCATAACTACCATGTGTTTATGCAACGCCTACTTCCTGTGGGTATTCGACACCTATTGCCGGAAGATGTATTAAAGCCAATCATGTTATTGTCCAGATTTTTTTTTCCCAACTGATGGCAAAAACGTTGCGAAAAACGGACATTAATCAGTTGTGCCTTGACATTGTCCAAGTCCTATACAAGTTTGAGATGATATTCCCCCCTCCCCCCCCCCCAAGCTTTCTTCACAAGTATGATCCACGTGATGGTTCACATGCCCAAATAGGCATTGCTTGCTGATCTTGTCAACTATCATTGGATGTATCCAATAGAAACATATAATCCTCATAATTTATTTATGCATCATTAGCCCATACTTACTAATTTGTATCGTATTGTTTTATTTTGGCAGGCTTCTCGAGGAGCTGAAAAAAAGTGTACGCAATAGGGCGAAGCCCAAATGATCAATTATAAAGGCTTGGGTTCAATATGAGTCACTTACTTTCTGTGGAATGTATTTAAAAGATGTGGAGACGGCTTACAATCGTCCTCATCACAATAATGACAGGGGTGTGAGAAAGGAGAACTTTCTGTTTTTGCCCAAAGCGCACGACCCTTTGGAGATCATGAACGAAGAGAGTCGTTTTCCATAAATGACATAGAGGTAGCGCATTGGTTCGTATTGAACAATTGTGATGAGATAATGGCATACTTAGATGAGCATGAAGAGATGATGAAGCGAGAACATCCATCACATTTGTATGCCAAGAAACACCGAGAATTGTTTCCACAATGGTTTCTCGAATATGTAAGTTATAAGTGTTTTGTCTTTGACATATATATTATAGTATTTAATTTTCTCAAACTAACATATGTATGTTTTTGTATAATATTAGGTGAATAAATTGAAAGCATTGAATTGCCCCACTTACAGTGAAGAGTTATATAACTTGGCGTTCGGCCCGATTCGCGCTAAATTGTTCTCGGGTTGCCATGTTAATGGCGTCAAGTTTTTGGGGACTACACGAAATGACAAGTTGTATACGCAAAACAGCGGTGTCCATGTCCCAGGTGGAGGCGAAAGTACGGACATTGATTTCTATGGTTCCACATAAGAGATCTTGGAGGTAGTCAATCATTGGAATTAAGTCTAGGTCCAAGGGTACAACTTACAAATCCCTCTCTTTGTTCTTCAATATGTTTCTTTGATGCTTCAACTATGAACCTATGCTTCTTAAACGGGATTTCCATAACTATTAATTGTTTTACTTCCGTTGCTTATGTACATAAATTCTGAATTGTATATGCATGCAAGTCATTGGAAATTCCATAGAAATCTCTATAGTTCCCTTCATTATATATATAGGAAGCCCTTAAGGGAAGGGGATCCTCATTTTTATAATTTTTTATAAAAATGAGGATTAGTTATGGGGTCCACACCACATCAAACTTTTACGATCCGAACTGTCTATTTTTTAAGTTGCACCTCATAGATCATTCTTGCAAAATATTAGCCAAATCAGAAATATTTAAGACATCTAATTGGGTTCAGAAAAATTAACGAATACTTTGTTATATAAGAAACAATGAAATTTTATCTTGATAATTAAATAGGCAACTACTTTCTGATTGACTTGAATTTTTGTAAGGATGATCTATGAATCGAGACTTACAAACTAGACAGTTCATACCGTTAAAATTTGATGTGGAGTGGGTGCCACACCTAATCTTCATTTTTTGAAAAAAAAATGGAGATCCCTTTGCATAAAGGGCCATATATATATGAAATCTCCAACATACTGGACTACAGAAAGTGATAATTAGTCATTAACCTCCAACTATCATAAATAATTTATAGAAATTTATTCTGATGTAGAAAATAAAAACTGCTCGTGCTAAGACAAGCCTAAATTCTTTGTATCGTATTCTTAAATTTGGGACCTTCGAGAGCAAAAAGAAAATAATTTACCCCTTCCATAACGAGATTGATGAATATGGAATCTCCTAATTTTGTAAAAAACGTAAATAATTTACCTCATATGGTAATTTTACATACAATGATGCACTAGTTAATGAATTTACTGATTGTATCCACTTACATATTTTATTTTTTATTTGAGGAAAAAAATAAAAAATAAGAAAGAAGAGTGTTAGACTACGTGACCATCAAATGATAAAATGATAGGATGCTTTGACTTAAAGAAATTACATTTTTAGGATGCTCTGACTTAATTTATAAATTTTTGTCAATAAATTGTGTCCTTGAAAAAAGCCTTAGTGGTTAAAAGCTCATTACATTGCTCCTTAGGTAATAAAATAAAATAAAATTCAAGGGCAATTGACCGGACAACCTATTAGTCCCGGTAAAATATCCCCCTTGTCCAATCACAACTCACAGACGCGTGTTATGACCGGCATCTCTAGGTTTCTTGTTTACAACGCCGGTTCGCCACTTGGACTCAACCCCTATTGGCTCTAGCTATAAATTCACTTGACTAGACTCCTACCCTTTCAACGGACACAGATAAAAAAATATAAAACAAGTTACAGAGAGAACAAGAGAGAGAAAGACAGAGGTAGAGAGGTAGAGAGAAGAGAGATAGAGATAGCAAAAGCAGTGACAGAAATGGAACGTATGGGTGGTGGGCTCCCATCAAGGCATGCAAAATCGTGGAACCCTGGTAAAAGTCTCTCTTAGCAAAGGGCATATTGCTTTGCTCTTTTATTTATTGATATATTTTTCATATTACTTGTTTTAATTTCTTCTTGATGATTTTATATATGTGTGCGCGCGCATATATAAAATAAGAGTTAGTTTTCTAATTTTTTTTTTTTTTCGTTTTCTTATTTGTTTATGGAATTTTATTGCATGCATGTCTATTTCTCTTGAAAATTTAGTGACCCAAATTTATTCTCTTCATCTCTCCCATTTTTCCCAAATATAGTTCTTTCCAAGGCCGATCTCAAAGTTTTTGCATTCGATCCTGCATTTGGTGGTCTTTTGCATTTATTTGTGTTTGTCTCAGCTCCTTATGTGCTGAATTGCTGATATCACAGACATATCTTTGATCTTTTTAGGGTTTTCATTGTTTTGTCAAGATTTTAACATAATTTTTTTCGTGGACGATTTACCCTGCTTGATACAGTTTATGTGTGTTCGTATTTTTTTTTTTTATTTGTGTGTTCGATTTTTGGAGGAAATCAAATGTATTTCTTCCCTGTAAGAATAAAATAAAATTTTATGTTATTTTTTTGCTATATTTTTTACATTATTTTCCTCTATTGCTAACAATTTTTTTTACCCAGATCTAAATGCCCCTTTTATTTATTAGTTTTTGACCAAATTTTTGTTACAGCTCGTCTAGCTAGTTCGTTTCAAAGTAACGCTTGCTCAAATATAGGTTGTATTTTTATGTAACCACTCATGGATATCTGGTTCTACACTTGCAGTGGCACTGTCATGATCTGTAATACACACACACACACACACATATATATACACCTACTAGCTTAATTTTTGTCTGATTATAATTGTTTCTTAATATGAAAAACATTATTAGCTCTGCCTTTACTTTGATTATTAGAAATTAGACGGGTTTCAGTCACTCAAAAATTTGTATTTTTCTTTACATATATAGAGGAAAATATTCAAATCTGATATTTTACAGAAGAATTTGAGTAGCTATAAGGCAATATACCATCACGTGAAAAACCTTGAGGAGCTGATAGGGTTTCGAGCTGGGAAACAAGTTTTGAACTGTGGTAGAGGGATTAGGTAGGACCCAGAAGGGGGGTCGCTTCGTGTATGGGACCCAATTTTCCAGGTTCTTAAAAGAGCCGTTTACACAGTCACGGTGATATGTGGACATGCAAGCGCGTGAGGTGTCAATTTATTCTTTAATTTTTGAGCTTAGGTGGCGTAGCGAACAGACAAAAACAGTGTGATAAGGAGTAACCGTTACTATGAAAACATAATCACAGGGGGGTGAGCTCGTGAAGCTTACGCGCATGTTAAGGGTTTATGGTCTGCACATTGTTCTCTGGTCAATCACTATTCACCCCGATTATTTAGATTATCAATAGTCTATATATATGGGAAAAGAAAACAAATGTCAAAGTCTAACGGTCCATGCAATTTTATGGATGGTCAATCATTCGTATTTACGTAAGTGGTTGATATTCGTTGATAGTTGCTAATTTTATAGTAAATTTCAAGTAAGTTAATTATTCATTGAATTCGATATTTCTCACAAACATACGGTGAATGAATTTTTAGATTCAAGGGTGGACACGTCCATAGTTGTGTATTAAGTGTTCCTAGTGGTAAGTTTACAAACCAAATAGGATTAGGAGTTAGACTACGAGATAAGAATTAAAATAGAATAGATTCAACGTTATTGTGGCATCCCATGTTACTAATAGAAGAATATGTGAGGCATTCTCAGCATGACCTGTCATTATATTGGTATACAGTTTATTGTAAGTAGTGGCAAAAACCTCTTTGATTGGCCATGCCATTTACAATATCTGCACATACACACAGACAATTAATGATTCAAACCCCATTAATATACACCCTCACCCTGATTAATATAACCATAAACCATGTCTTCCTTTCCCATTAATTAACAGACCACAAATTGTTACCTTCAACGTTTCTCGTGTAAGTTTTGCATGGCCCTCGTTTCCACAAATAACTTTTTCTTTTTCCTTTTTCTCTTTTCTCTTTTTTTTCGAATTTAAGTTACTCATTTATGAGCGTATCTGTACAGTGAATAATTTGACTTACATTAATTGTTTTCCTCCCACCTTGCACGCAGCCAACGCCAACAGTTCCGACGGCGGCAATGCCATCGCAAACACCAGCAACCCTGCCAACTCCGCCGGCAATAGCGACAACAACACTGAACAGAGGGCCCCGCAGTGCCTCGTTCGCGAGCAGGATCGATACATGCCGATAGCCAACGTGATACGCATAATGCGGAGGATATTACCCCTGCATGCAAAAATATCTGACGACGCCAAGGAGACTATGCAGGAGTGTGTGTCCGAGTACATCGCCTTCATAACCGGTGAGGCCAACGAGCGCTGCCAGCGCGAGCAGCGCAAGACTGTCACTGCTGAGGATGTCCTCTGGGCCATGGGAAAGCTCGGGTTTGACAACTACGTCGAACCCCTCACCATTTACCTCCAACGCTACCGGGAGTCTGAGAGTTCCGACCGTTCTCGGTTTGTGAAGAGGGAGGAGCGCCAGCCAACGGACTATTGCCCTCCTGGGCATGCTGTGCCCCAGGTTGCAATGATGTCTCCCCCGCCACCATCTTATGGGCCGGGATATTATTTCGGGCCCCAGCATGGTCCTCCCATGTGTGACCCCTCGATGATGGGAATGTTTAGGGATGGTTCCTCCTCTGGTGCTGGTGGAGGCGGGTCATCGTCGGCTTCTGGGGCGCAGGGTGAGAACTCGTTGGGGCGATTTGACCCGTTTGGTCACTTCAAGTGATCACCACAGTTTAGAGAAAGGTCTCAGCTGTTTAATTAACAGACATAATGAATAAATAATTGCATTAGTTTGCAATTAATTAGTTATAAGTTATTGTGGTTGTTGTAGTTTATCTCTATGTTTTAGCATGGTTGCAAAGTGGGTTTGCTTCCTTTGAGTTCAAGGACAAGTTGGTTTAGTAATGTAATGAATAACTTCATCCCTGGATGTTCGTTCCTTGTATTACATGTTCAATCGTTAACTTCATCCTCTGGATGTTCATTCCGTGTATGACATGTTCAATCGTTAATGGAGCTTTTCTGTTTTGGATACAAGGAGCAAATAGCTGGCTAAAACAAAATGAAAGCTTAATCTACAAACATAGATAGTAGCTTGGCAACTTTAAGTGTGGCTCGAACTGATACAAATTGAAAATTTTGAGTAAATAAAAACGTTGATGGGTTAAATAGTTAGTTGTTAAGGGAGAGGAGAATCTATGGAGATGAAAATTAAAAATAGCTATTTAAGCATGTATACACTACCAGAAATTTGGCCTTGCCCTACGAACTTTTGCTTGATGAACCATATTTCGTCGGGTAAGGGTGTTTTATCTGACAAATTTGCAGTTTGTCAGGCATCACTAGTCAATATTTAGGGTTTTACCCAAAATCTTTATGCGACGTGAAGTTTTTGTAGAGCAATGTGAAAATTGTTGGATAAATATTTAGCGCCAAAAGGGAAAAAGTGGCGAGTAATTTGAAAGGTTTCTCTGACGAAACAAAGGTTTGTCGACTTGAAGACATGTGCCCGACAACCATGTTCGTCGGGCCAATTTTTCATGTCGTTAGACAAAAGCACACAATGACCTGTGAAAAATCTACTAACAAAAACTTTACATGACATCATCCTTATGCTTGCCCGACGAAATGTTCCATCGGGCAAACTCTTATTCATTTAAAAGGTTGTGCCTTCTTCTTTTTCCCCTCTTCTTCTTTTCTTCTCCCCCTCCCTCCCCATTGGCTGCTGCTTAAATTTGCATCTCTCACTCTCTCTCTCCCTCTCTCTCATTCACACCCTCTCATCCATCTCTCCCTCTCCCAATTGATTTAAGGTTAGTTTTTTTTTTTTTATTTGCTAAATATTTTTTATTTAATTGTGTGACTAATTAATTTTGTTGTTGTAGATTTGTGATTGGATTGAAAAAAATTAAAGGAAAGATATGTATTTGTCGCTTAATTATAAATTAAGGTAAATTACATTTTACCTCCCCTCCCCCGGTTCTTTGTAGGTTAAAAAATCTATTAATTAACCGTTACGTGATGATGCAGTAGATACATGGTCCACATTTTTAATGACGTGGAAGCAACTTTTCAGCTTGTGAATAAAAAAACAAGGGTAAATATCAGTTTACTACCCTCAAGTTTCGTGGTTTTCAACATTTGGTACATGAAGTTTTTTTCGTCCCAGAGTCGTACCTAAATTGTTAATTTTGGGATAGTCTCATACATCCGTTAGTCAAACTGTTAACTTTGCCATTAACTGATGATGTGGCGCCTATGTGGGCAATGACTGGACGCCACGTGTCATTAAGGGGTCCACGTGGAAATTAAAAATTCAAAAAAATAATTATTTAAAGAAAAGTTAAAAATTTAAAAATTAAAAAGCAAAACCTAGATCGTCTTCCCCAAATCCCTCCATGCCCACCCTCCCACCCACACCTAGATCGTCTTCCCCAAATCCCCCCGTGCCCACCCTCCCACCCACACCCAGATCTTCCCGTCAACCTATGTCCCCCCCCCCCCAATCCAAACCTTCCTTCACCACCCCACTCTCGCGGTCGTAGGTGACACAGAGGGTCGGGACTCCCTCTCTCTCTCTCTCCTGTCGATTCTTGATCTCCTCCCTCTCGAATCGGGGAGCGTGACCGCTCGACATCCCCCTCCTCGCCTTGATATCTCCATCAACGGCGGAGAAGTAACGGTCATCAAGGAAGTTAACAGTGAATTTGATAGCGGGGACAGAATCGGTGGCCGAGTTCACCGAGTCGTAGAAGGGTGTGACCAGGACTCGCTCGTGGCGTCGGCTAAGACGGTTGACGGAGTGGATGTCGCAGGTGATGCAGAGGGTCGGGACTCCCCCTCTCTCTCTCCCCCACAGTCTCTCTCTCTCTCTCTTTTTTGGTTTTTTAGTTTTGTTTTGTTTTTTTTAATTTTTTTTAATATTTAGTTTTTTTTTTAATTTTGAATTTTGAATTTCCACGTGGACCCCTTAATGACACATGATGTCTAGTCATTATCCACATAGGCACCACATCATCAGTTAACAGCAGAGTTAACGGTTTGGCTAACGTATGAGACTGTCCCAAAATTATGACTATGAGACGAAAAAAACTTCATGTAAACTGATATTTACCCAAAAAACAAATAAAAAAGTTTAATTACAGACATAGGGATAAATAACACCATATGATTCATGTAATTCGATGTTGAGGAACAGCAACAGGTTTGCGGCAAGCTCAGGCATGTTGAAGGTCGTGCTTGCACGGGGTGGCGAAGTGTTGTGCAGCGCAGTGTTCATTTGATGCGGGAACAGATTTGGGTTGGGTTGCAAGCGGCGGGTCAGGAGTAGTGCAATCGTGGGGTTTAATCATTTCTGGGAATCCAAGAGCCTGGAAAGCCCAAAGTCCCCGACTTTAATCCACATATCTTTCTCGAAAAAGATATTCGATGACCTGAATAAACCTGTTTCTCACCGTACTTCTCGAAGTACGGCTTGTTTACAGCGGAGCTGAAGTGGAGAGTGGCTTTGTAAATAAGAGAGGAGAAGTGCTTAGTCAAATTTAGCACCACGAAATCGAAGTTCAACCCCATTGCACTGAAATCCAATTCGACTTATCATGGAGATTCACCATTACATCGGCAACATATTCCGGGAGTGAGACACTTAGGCATGAACTCTCTTCATATGGCCGTGTTGATGACGACCAAGTGATGGACATATTGAATGATATTTTCCGTAATGCTTCGATCAATATGGATGAAGAGCCATCCACACACTCTGATAAGTACGATAAATTGTTGATGGAAGCTCAGTGAGAATTGTACCCTGGTTGTCAAGATGTAGAGTGTAATATGACCAATCAAAACTACGATATGATGATGGGAATGGTTAAACGTATGTTTCCGAAACCAAATGTCGTTGCTTGTAAATCATTCTAGTTCGAAGAAGATGCTGAAAGATTTCAGGTTGGGATATGACAAGATCCATGCATGCTTATTTATTATTTTGCAGTGAATTCGAGAAGGGATCCCTGTTTTTGGTACCCAAAAATCCCAGACAAGTTCCTCTCTTTCGATCAACCCATCTTAAACTTGAATACAACAATTCGTCCTACCCAATAGTCTAAACGTAAACTCACCAACAAGAAACAAACATATGCCGGCCGGTCGACCCACATACGGGTTTAGTAGAAGGGCTACACAAGCAGAGATAGAGAAACCTGCAATGCCCACATCATTAGAAACATATAGAGACTATACCATCAAACTCTTGACATGAACCGCAAATAATCTCCATAACGCAAATAGCTCTGCAACTGGAAATGCCATGAATTTGATTATGCAGTTTAGAAAGGAGTAAATACACAATTTCCAGTGTTACAAAAAACAACCATAAATTAAGGGACTACCAATCTCTCGCAATCAAAGACTCTCAAAGAGTCGCATGTGGTCTTCAAATGTCTTTGCATGCCGGACCTTGGCCACAGACCCATCTTCTTGAACGTGAAAACATTGTAAAAACTCTTAGAAATAAGTTTCTGGAAACGAGCATTGATATTCATGTTGAGGCGTAAAGATTGTTTTTTGTAGCAATTCCATACCCAATATTCTGGAGGATGCATTTTAAGATTGTAAGTTAAAGCCATACTCATGCAGTAAGCGCCTGCGTCATGAACAACCAGACCAGATCCCTGAAACGGGTAACTCTAGGTCAGCAATCAAGCACCAAAAATCCTTAAGGGAAACCTCCAGAACAGAATAACTGCGAAGATCGTCATTTGATCTCCTAGTCATAGAAGACGTCAAATGATTATAGCTCTGACCGTCCATCAAATGATTATAGTTCAATATTAATTATGAAGCAGCTACCAATGGTATTTTGATTAATTATTGAGCAGCTACCAATAATATCTTGCCTGCAATTCTCGCAGCGGAAACAATGTTTTCCAAGTCGAATTCCCTATCGATATTGATAAGAACACCTTCTTGGGCAGCCAAAACCATGTCCTCTAACAATTTTCCATTCCCATTAAAAATGCACCTGCCCTCACACAAATAGTTGTACAAACATGAATTTAAATATTCACTCACAATTCACACCTTCTTGGGTCGGGTCACGTAAAATTTACCTAGTAGGCAGTTCATAGAACTAAAATTTGACGGTAACTTTCAGCAGATGAAAAACGTTGAGTTTCATTCTAATTTTTTTACAATGCTAACCAAAATCTGACGTAAAAATACTACAATATCCTTTTTAACTAAAATAATTTATAAAACTGTATCTTCTCCAAACCTTTTGAGTAGAAAGGGGAGTGGTTAAACCTAAACAGGTTAATTATATCATAATTGGTATAATGGTAAGAATAACCCTAGTTGAATAATAATTCAAATAAACCCTAACCACATTCACAGCGTGTATCGACGGCAACGATGAAAATTAAACACCGTAATAAGAATAGAACAGATGAAACAAGGAAGAAGAAGGTGGGTAGAGTGGGGGACCTGGTGAAGCTGATGTTTGTAAGGTTGGAGACTGAAGGCCAGCTCTGTATGCTGAGCTCTTCTCCTTCTTCTCCTTCCATTTTTTTATTGTATTTTTTCCAATTTTCAGAGATAAAATATAATGGTTGTTTTTGAGAGATTTTTACAGAAGAGAGTGAAGTGAAGTGAAGAGAAGAGAAAAGAAAAAGGAACCTGGAAACACAAGAAGGCAAGAATCGGAAGAAGATTAGGAATCGCATATCATGTCCAAAACTTGACTGCACAATGGATGGAGAAGATTTAGTTTGTAATTATTTGAGTTAAGAAAGGGTATTGCAGTATTTTCACATCAAATTTTGTATAATGGTTAGTTAAAATTCTACTCATGGTTCAAATTTTGGTTATATTTCCAAATATCCCCTCTTGTTTTGCTATTAAAAATTTTGTTTTGCTTTTGCAAAACAGTTTTTCGTTTTGTAGACACAAAAAATGGGTGAAAATGCATTTAATAGATTTTTTTTTCTTTGTTTTTTTTTTTGAAAATAAACTCAATGACCAAAAACACAGAAAAATATTTAGCTTAAATTCTGTAGAACATCAAATTGATGTTTCCTCTATTTTTCAAGAATAGTTTTGTTAGTGGAACTGGGTCATTTGGATCTGTTTGATACATCCCTTTTCTTATGAGTCAAACAGATCTATTTTCAATCATATATGTTGTAGAACAAGACAACAATATAAAAGAATCTCTTTGAGGGTGTTTGTTTGACCTTCTTAGTGGAACTGGACTAGACTACACTAATTGCTAGTGTAGTCTGATGTTTGGTATGCACAAGGATTAGGTTTAATGGGATTAGAACGTACTCACTAGGATTAAACCCCTTGCTAGGAGTTCTTAGCGAGGCATCCCAAAAACCCCTCGACTCATAAGACCTCATGCGCTCCTGCAAGAGAGAACCTAGCTCATCCTATGAGAGAGTGTCATCGGCACCCTGCTCCCTCATCGTCGTCCTCCTCATCCTTATCTCAGCTGCATCCTGCTCGCCCTCATCTGCTCCTCTTCTCTAGTAAACTTCAAATCCGACATTATTTCTTCGATTTGTTTTGCAGATCGTGATATTATTGGGCTTTATTTGATTTAGGTGTTTTGGGTTTAAGAAATTTTCAATAATAAACCTCTGCACTTGAACAAATTAGGGTTTTGATTTTTAGGGTCAAATTGAAATTAGAATTTGGGGTTTTCACATTTTATGCCATTTTCATATTTCTTTGATTTGTAATTGTTGTTGTAAAGGGATGTTGCAGTAGCATCGCAACTGAATCTAATCGTTGTTTATAGCTTGCTTGTGGATCAAACAGTCATCCTGTTACTGAATCCTGCAGTGTTCTCCCAGAGCATGTATTCCCCAAGTAGTCTTCTTTTGGTCGGGCAGTGTGAACTTAGTTAAAGTCTCGTCACTTGATACTGATGGCTCATGCAATTCCAGCCGTCCATATTTCATGGAACCTAAAAAATGAAGACGAGCATGTACACTCCGAGGACCATGTCCCTCTTCACTCCAAAGTCATCGGTCCCAGCTCTTCAATCTTCAATTCTTCACCCAACCATCACAAACTACTTCTTTTACTCCTCAATAACAATGTGACCCCATCACTAGCTTCAGATTGAACATGAGAAGTGAGTTGCATTTGTATTATTCATCTTTATGCTAAATTACTCAATTGTGATTGTGATGGCATTATGTTTGGTAATGGCTGCAGACAGGAAAATGAAAGTGGCTAAAGCTGCTTTCGATGTCAGTGTTGATGGTGGAATAACCTTCTTTGATACTGCTGAGGTGTACGGCTCCAGGGTGAGAAAAGTGTCTTATAGTTCTTTCCATAAAATTTGTTGCAGTAAAAACAAATTCATCGTTATCTACTCTTGCAGGCTTCTTTTGGTGCTGTAAATTCTGAAACTCTACTAGGAAGGTACATTGTAGGAATTTTTTGTGCTGCATCATTCTTGTTTCAAATCAACAGAGTACAGCTAATTGTCGTCGGTTTCTGTATTTTGAGGACATTAGTAGACTACTCTGAATTTCGCATAGATTTATCAAGGAAAGGAAACAGAAGGATCCAGGCGTAGAGGTTGTTGTCACAACCACATTCGCAGCTTTGCCTTGGAGGCTGGGCAGTCAAAGTGTCATAGCTGCCCTCAAGGACTCCCTCAATCGCCTGGATCTTTCTTCTGTGGAACTGTATCAACTCCATTGGTATGTCCCTTATGAGCCTTTGCTTTTTGTATAAATAATTGTTTCTGCTAAGGTAACTGCAAAATCTTATCAAGTGTCTGTGTTATTTTTCAGGCCTGGAATATGGGGAAATGAAGGTTGTTCATAACTTCATATGTAACACCATTTTTTCATTGAATAAATTTGTCCATCTAATATAATTAGGAGGTCACATTATTTACATTTTGTTTCTGAAGAGGTGTATTTGGGAAGTCAATTTTCAGGGTATCTTGATGGTCTTGGAGATGCTGTTGAGCAGGGCCTTGTGAAGGCTGTTGGTGTTTCCAACTACAGCGGTATAATTCGATCTTTTATCTGTTTGTTGTTGGTTAAAATTAGTAGTTCAAATCATGGAAAAAAAAATTCAATCATAGATGCTCCTAAACAGAACATGACGATAAAGTTTGTTATTTCAGAAAAGCGATTGCGTGAGGCACACGCAAAACTTCAAAAGAGAGGTATCCCACTAGCATCAAATCAAGTGAATTACAGCCTCATATACAGGGCACCAAAGGAGAATGGAGTGAAGTCTACCTGTGATGAACTAGGGATCACTTTGATTGCCTATTCGCCTATTGCTCAAGGTGAAGTTGGAACCTCGTGTTTTCTTACCATATTCTCATCATCACTCGATATGTTAGCTTAAAAGATATAATGTCTTCTTATTTTACAGTATTTAAAACCTCTCCATGCGATCTTAAACATTGCCATTAGGACTTGGGAGAAAGCATGCTTGCTCACTTTTCTCAGTCAGCCTTTTAATGTGAAATTTCGAATTTTCGAGCAATCCTTGTCAAGAAGTTCTTAACTTCAACTTGATGATCTTGTTTATTTTATGTTTCATGATAGTTATGGACTTTAGTTGTGCACATAAAGACTCACCTTTCAGGCTATAACCTTCCAACTAAATGCCTAAATGAAACAGTGAAGAAAATAAAATTCTGTACATCTTGTGCATTCATGTGCTTTATCTTTTCAGCGTCTTGCTTGTATTTTTCTTTTGTTGAATTCAACTACCGCTTGGTAGTTGGCGAATGGTGATCTTGCATGGTAAAGCTTTAATGTGAATTCAAACTGTCGCTGGATAATTGGCGAATGGCTGTAATACCTTACAAAAAATTCCAAACATCTGGTTTTCGGGTAAAATATTTAGTTTTTAACAAAACAAAGGGGATGTAGTTATTCTAAAACATTAAAAAAAAGGATTCTTGATAAAAGATGTATGTTTGGATCTTATGTTATTACTTGAATCTTTGCACAACCCTGCTTAGAACGGTTACGGCCTTTAATTTTACTAGATTGGTTACCAGAGTAGTCAACTTTGCCTGTCTGATCCAGGGTGAAGGAGATTAAGAAGATTGACATTCTACTATTTATGCATATGCAGGTGCTCTTACAGGAAAGTACACACCTGAAAATCCCCCAACTGGCCCTCGAAGACAGATTTATACTGAATTTCTTTCAAAGGTAAATCATAGTCAGTACTTTGAAAGCCTGCTAAACATTAAATTCCAAATTGTTTTGCTAAAATATTGTTGTTATCTGCAGCTCCAATCTCTGCTGAACTGGATCAAGGAAATAGGAGAAACGTACATTAAAACAAACACACAGGTTTGTTGATGCTCTTTTAACCTTAACTAGCTTTTATCTTTTCCATATTAGAAGCCCTAAAGTTTTCATTTATGTGGAAGCATGGCTGAAAATATCCCCAAAAGTACAATATTTTAGTAGTTAATCCATTTTGGACCCTTTACGAGTATGAAACGCTTCATAGATACCGTTGCAACTTCCAGCTCATGCTGAAAGAAACTCTTTGTTTCACCATCTTTTATACATGTAGTCCAACTCTTGGTAGTTTCATGTTTTCCGTTTAAGATCATTAAACTACATATTGATATATCAAGCAAGAATTCTGAAATGCAGAAATAATTGTTGGGGTATTAAAATGTGTAAATATATAGGTTGTTCTCTTTGCTGGGTTTTAATGCGAGTTAGGTTACTGTTAACAGGTAGTCCTAAACTGGTTGATAGCCCAGGACAACGTTGTGCCAATCCCGGGATCCAAAAACGAAGAACAGGCTGCAAAATTTGCAGGTGCACTTGGATGGCGGCTCAACAGTGAAGAAGTAGCCGAATTGCGCGTTTTGGCTACAGAGATAAAACCTGTTACTGGTTTCCCTGTTGAAAAATTTTAATTTCTTACACGAGCATCAAGGCTGTAAATTCTTCTATACAAAAATATGTACACACTTCACATCTAATGCAAATTTGACATATCTAATTTTAGAGAGATTGCAGGCTGACCATTGATGTAGCAAATTTGACATATTTCAAATCTATAGCCACACTATAACTAGCAAGCGCAGTCACACACTGTCACTGCGGTCTTAGAACAAGTTAATAAGCATTTCTTCATATGGAAACGATCCAGTCGGGGAACTAACATCAAACTGGTGACAGTACTATTTTCATTATCCTGCTTTTTAGTCTAACACTACACCAAACGCTTTACTAAGCTAGTCCAGCTTAATCTAGTCTAAGCCAATCCAGCTTAGTCCCTGAAGCTAGTCCAGTCTGAAACAGTCTCGTGCAAAAAACGCACTATATGTTTTCATTATGAAAGAATTACATCTGATCTATCAAAGTCGTCAATGCATAACAATCATGGTTAAACTTTTAAATAAATATGGAATTATGAATCATGGGCTTCGTTGTGGACCACTAATCAAATGACAAGTGCTAAGCCAACCCTTCAACGATACGAGTCAGGTTACCCGCACATAAGAAATATGAACTTGATTTTGAACTTGTTTTTATACAAATCGGTTCCAACTCAGACAATTTTGAAAACTAAAGATAAGAACTTTATTGCTTTACATCCAGCCCAGTAATAGGGTCTAAATTCACGAGTCCAAAAATCTGTATGTTCACCCCTACCTCCTACTTCACTCCCCTACGTTAAGGTCTATTTTGTAATTTTGGAACAGGAGAAAAAGTTAATAATAATTTGTTCGAAAAAATAAGTGTGTCCAGAGATGAATACTGGCTGTAAATAGGGTCACTCATAGACAATAAGCTGCGGTGCAAGGTATTAAAAGTGTCTATGCCGCATGGACTACCACAAACGTCAATTTTCTTAGACGGCTGCGCTCATTCTACCAAGGGTTGAACAGTATCTAAATTTTTGTATTTTAGTGGTATTTTTTTTTTATTTATAAATGAGAGATTTTAAATTTAAATCTTGAAAGTGAAGAGTTTCAAAAAGCAAATTTAAATCTAAGGGTGCGTGGTAGCAAGGTTCTCTGAACTTTACCCAATATTTAGTTTTTGTCCCTAAACTATTTAGTTTCTCTCGTCCTCCACCTTAACTCTATATTGCTTTAATGGTCCTTCCGTCAAATTGCCTTCTTTTCTGTCAAATTTAAGAGTATAGTGGTCTTTTCATACATAAAAAATTTAATTTACTAAAAAATATGAGAAGCGCTTGGCTCCTTCAGGTTAAGTCCCTCCTCAAAACACTTCGTGGCCTATTCACAGAATTTCATGTTTGTGATCGGAAACAATCATAATATAAATCACTATGTAAAGATCATCTTTGTAAATAAATCAATTAAAACTAAGATCATTTAGTCAATTCTTAAGTAATTTTTATCATAAGCACGAAGTTTCGTGAATAAGTCACGATCTATTTTAAGGAATTTTAAGGAGGAGTTCTTCCTCAATCCTTGGATCCAAGTCTTTCGCTTTAAAAAATTTATTTTCTTATTTTTGATGAAATTCCTATTTTATCTTTCAACTTAACGAAAATATTGATAAAGTTAATGAAAAAGACTATTAATGCAACAAATGACATAATTCAAGGATGCGAGAAACTATTAATAGAGTTATGGACAAAAATTAAACTCGTGATGTAAATCAGGAACTCTCTACAATTTAGCCCAAATCTAGTTATCTATATTTTCAAATACCGTTATTCAGTTGCCACTTCACACCCCGACTGAAGTAACGTAATAGGACTGTCTCACAGAGCAAGAAAGTACTATTAGAACGCGTAAAAAGCCAGTGTGGTAGTGGTACTGCTCTGCTGCTCCTCCAAAAACATGCATGGCCTTCATTGATGCAACATTACATTGACGTCGACCTATTGCTATTGCTCTAGGGCTACCATGATGCCTATACCCTCGCCTGCATGTGCAACCAATTAATATTCCAGAATCTTGACAGAGAGAGAGGATGGACAAATATCCCATCCACCATCTCTAAAGAAAATCTGATATCTCTCTCAGATTCCATCACTCATTTATGTGAAAGTCTCGGGTTCGCTATGCTACTTATACCTATTCCATGCTTACGAGAGATTTTTCAATGTGATCATCACACGAGCTAGTACATCACGCGTCTTTATAGAAATAGTAGGTTATATGTGTTAAAAAGTTAATAACTTAAAAATTAAAATTTTCCACCACTTATATAAAAATACATAGTGTACCATCTGTATTCCCGTTACAACTAAAAATTTCTCCATGCTTACACCAAATTTTAAAAAAAAAATATTGGGAAACTAAAACCGGCTGATGGGGTTGGAGGTAAAAAGGAAGAGTAATGATATTCTTACCACAATTTTATATCATATTTTTTTACCATCTTAGGTGGCAGATGAATTGGACAAGCTACATCATTTAATTTCAATTTTTTATTAATTAAAACGCTTAAATAATCTTATATAGAAGAAGGAGACTCCTCGTATACCACAATCATCATTTAATTGACAATCTTTTTATTAATTATTGATTAATATTTTGAAATTAAATGCTAATTAATTTAGATGATGTGTCTGTCCACATCAGATGTGACAGCCCATCCCAGATTTTTCATACCGTAGGGGTGAAATGACGGTTTTGCCCCTAATGGATAATGGTTGTTTGTGTGGTTGCTTTGAGTACTTGGTTGGCTGCATCTCAGCCACACATCCATCATCATTCTCATCACCCTCTCCTGTTAACCCTCTTTATCCCGTATCCCTATCTCTCTCTCTCTCCCTCTCTCTTATTCATCAGTTTGTACGGACAAGAACCAAAGTGTTCGAAAACGTGGTAGATCGAGGAAGAAAACCATACATCCGTGCTCGTGAGGTTCTTAGGAGTTCAACCATACCTATTTTAGGTAAGGGAACCTTCGTTTTCACATCGAACCCGAGATGCTCAATTCGGGGTACTATTCATGCACACGTAAATTCATGTGTTTTTGGGAATTTCAGGCTTGTAGGAAGCTTGGTGAGGTCCTTAGGTGTCTCGGGGTGGTTCGTTTGAAGGTTTTGGACGTCGGGATCGTGAGTTGCAGGTTTGGCCGGAGTTGGTGGAGTTTTTCCGGCGAGATTCCATTGGTTTTAGTGCTTAAAAGTGGTAAGGATTTGTTCATCTAGCTGTAAGCTTCATTTTGGTACCAATTTCGTGGAATTTGAGTTAAAAACGAGTGAGATATTAAGTTTAGAATTTTTCCCGGTTTTCCGGCAATAGCGACGGCGCCAGAGGTTGGCCGGAGAAGATGACGGAATATTCCGTCAGTTTGGATGGACTATTCCTAACGTTAGGTTAACTTTAACGGAATCTGTCAAAGTTAACGGAATATTCCTGACGGCGTTAACTGACGCCGTCAATGTGCCAGGCATGTGCCTGCGCGTGGGCGGCGCGTGTGGCCGTGCCTTGGCCGGCGCGTGGGGGCGCATGAGGCATCGGAAAATTATTTTAAAAATATGGAGATGTTCGTGAGGTTGAGTAGATCACGTTGGTGTATTTATACACCTCATTTGAGCATTGTATGAGAAGTTATTACCTAGTTTGTGTTATGTGCTTTAAATTAACGTTTTTATAGTTGTTTCGCATATAGGTGAGACCTATCCTGAGGACGAGCGCAGTCACTCGAGGCAAGGGGGTTACAACCCTTCTGCATATCAGTGAGTGGACTTTTGGTTTTCTGTATATACCTATATACTTGTGTTTTTGCCAGAAAGTGAAATGAAGCGTTTATATGCTTTATATTCCATGCTTTGCGTTTGCCTAATTAATTATGCATTAGTAGTTGCGTGTGTGTGTGTATATATATATATATATATATATATATATATATATATATATATATGTTTGGTGCTACGAACGCACAGGTAAGTGCCAGGTAAGTTGTGGTTTATGTTTATGTTTAGTAGTGAATTGAGATGCATAGAGAGCTCATAACCTGCACCCCCGGTGTTAGTGCTCCCGCCCAAAGTAGGGCACAGTCCTTCACATGATGTTCACCTCCCGCACCACACGCTCATCTTGGATCCAAGTTAGGTGCACAGTCCTGTCATACAGACCACTTTAGGTGGTTCCGACTCGTAGGTGACCCGCGATTATTCGCCCAATCTTCACGTGATCGTAGCACTTGAGCGTATTTATTTACACCCAGTCCTGTCGTACAGACCACTTTAGGTGGTTCCGACTCGTGTGCAAGTAGAGTTAGTGAGTTGGTGATTTGAGCTCTAGATTCAGCCGTACAAGTTACGTTAGGTGACTCCAGCTGACAGATTATATGGCACTGATTTGGTATTACCTGAGTACTTGCATTTTATTTAGAGGCACTCGACATGGCATATTTCTGAGCATGAGTTATATACATGTGCATATTCTATTTTCTAGGAAACTATACAAGTTTTTACGGTGAGGGGTTAGTACTTTTGATATTGAAATGATTTTGAAAAGCTTTGTTTTTGCTCACTCACACTTTCTGTTTTGCACCCTTCCAGGTTCTAGTTTGGATAGCTCTGTTGGTGGCTCTCGAGGGATTCACGACATATCTGACAGATTATCACCAATGTAGGACCACCTCTGGGTGTGTTTATTTTAGCGTTTGTTCCACGGACTGTACTAGGTCTTCCATGCTTTGAATATTGTTTTTCACACTTACGCTTGCACTTGTATGTTATCTACTTAGTGTATAGCTTGGTTTTTATTTATTCGTACTTTTATTATTCTTAGCTTCCGCACTATGCACATGGTTACGTCACTCTCACGTGATGGCCAGCATGCCCTGACTTCAGTCGAGGTGTGTCAGTTTGGTATCAGAGCATAGGTTTGGCAGTCCTGTACTTTTGTGTGTATTCTAATTGTTTTGGTGTCTTCTGTCAGAACTATGCCGCCTCGTAAAGAACCACGTCACT